GGCTTAGAGCCATTTATGAATCAATGTGGCTTAGAGCCATTTGTGAGTCAATGTGGCTACGAGCCCTAATGTGAAACTACGTGACCAAGGGTCATTTGTGAATTGTGAATCAATGTGGCCAAGGGCCATTTGTGAACGATGAAATTATGAGGCCAAGGGCCGATGTGTGAAATACGAACTTATATTATTGTAAGCTTGTGAATCAAAAAGAACCAAAGGTCTATGTGATGAATTGTAAATTATGAACCCAAGGACTCTTTTCTGAATGTGTGAAGTTCTTAGGCCAGGGGCCACATTATGACGGTTATAAACCAATTACGTTGTCCCAACAAGCTGTACAGAGATAGACTGATTACATGATTTCAACATTAATTATGTTTATAAGCATACCAGTACTATTGTTCACTGAGCTTGGCTCACCCTATGTTATGTCTGTTTCTGTAGGTAATCAACCAGGAGGTCGATCTTAACTCGGCATCGTCATACTTTTGTCAGCCTAGGCACAGCCAAGCTTGGGGTCGAGACCCTACTTTTGTGGAGTTGTTAGATGAGGGCTTACACTTTTGCTATTGGCTTAAGTTATTATGTACTTAATACTTTTGTTATATACCCCACCTCGGGGTTGGATTTGTATACGCCTGTAAATAACTAACTCTCAAATGTATTTTGGCTTTTGATGTACTTGTCCTATAATGTTTATGATCCTGGCATGACTTAGTAGCTCAATGGATGTCATATTCTCTGGTTTATATCACTTATTATTACAGCTTCCGGTCAGGCCCCTCTATAGAACCAGGTTAAGTGTTCTTTTCTGCGTAGGTCATGCCCAAACTTTTAGGGGCAAGTCTGGGGCGTGACAGTTACCATGGCCATTTATTGACCACTGGGACATCTTAGTCAATTTTCCGCTTTCCAATTGGGGCACATCAGTCGATCATCATCTCGGCACCTCTGATATGCATGCATACTCGGCCAACTTGGTACAAACATTACAACGACACTTACTTGAGTTACACACTCCCTCTCCTTTTCACACCATTCCAAACAAGCGCCAGTTTTGGGGCAATACAATACACACTTGGCAGTCGGCCGTTAGCACTTGGCAGTCGGCAATTCGTATTTGGTAGTCGGCAGTTCGCATATTTTTGTGCACCGTCATTTTACCAAAGCCGAATCTTTCCTACAACATAGGGCAATGGGTAAGTCCAATCTACATTCCTTTCGACTAACACCTGTCATTCAAAAGTAATGGGGCAAGTCTACCTTGGACTAAACGCAAACCGAGCAACTCGGAAATTAAATGGTTGGCCTAATATCTACTTGGGAATTTCCTTACAAGCGGAGCAATATTATTTGTGATTAACACGTATACCTCATTCGGTACAGACCACCACTGACACAGGATGCATTATTCAAAATCCTTGCAATATTAGCACTTGATTGCCATTTAAAATTAGCATAACTCTCCAAGTATAGCGTAATCTTCGCACTCGGCATGGAGCGACATCAGCAAAAGCCTACACCCATGCCCAGGGGTTAAAATACCACAGGCTTACACCCATGTCCGGGGGTTAGAATACCGCAGGCCTACACCCATGCCCGGGGGTTAGAATACCGCGGCCTACAGCCCTTGCCCGGAGGTAACAATATTATGGCCCATCATTGTGGTTTGTTTGGAACTCATGTGATATAATTTCATCCTTTGATAGACATATGTATATGTATACATACATTCAAGACATACGTACATTTATGCATACATTCAAGCATACATGCAGTCATTCATTCATACATTTTATTCATTTATCCAGAGTGTTCTTTATCAAAAAAACCTAACAGCTATTTGAACAGCGTAACTCGGCAAGAAAAACTCTCATTTCTTCTACCTCAGATACATTGTATTTTGCTGTAATGAAACTAAAATACTATCTTTTGTCTATAACTGTCTTGGTAATTACAACCACAGATTTGGTTAAATATATGTTGTCTAGACCTATCTTGAGAGGAATAATTGGCAAATGGATACTAGCTTTATCAGAATTTCATCTAGAATATGTCCCCAAAAGGCAGTAAAAGGACAAGTTTTAACTAATTTCTTGGTAGATCATCCATGTTAGACAGAAAGCCAAGAGATAATGAATCTTGGTATGATTAGTATTGAACCATGGCAAATGTGGTTCGATGGATCAAAAGCCAACAGTCTAACTGGAATTGGTGTGATAATTAAGTCACCACAGGGGGTAGAAACCACAAATGGTTTAAGAGTTGATGAAATTACTTGTTCCAATAATCAAGCTGAATATGAAGCTTTAATAATGGGGCTGGAAATACTTATTGGATTACAAGCTCATGCAGTTGATATATTTGGGGATTCTCAATTGGTGGTTAACCAAGTGAAAGAAATTTTCAAATGTCAAAGTGTAAGCATGTTGCCATACTATGTTATTGCATTACATTTTCTTTCTTAATTTCAGATAGCAAATGTAACTTATGTCCCAAGATTTTTGAATAATAAAGTTAATGATGTGGCTCAGAAAGCTTCGGATTTCAAGAGAAGGGATAACACTCAAAGGGACATAAGCCAAACAATATATCAAAAGGTTATTACTACCTTTGAATAGAAGGAATATGGCCCTAGAAGTCAATCATAATGACTTACAAGAACAAGATTGGAGGCATCCAATAATGCGGTATCTAGTTGGCCCATCTTCGAAAGCTAGTAGAAAAATCAAATTGTAATCTATTGTAACAAGCCCGCGGGGGGACCTCGCTACAGCTCGGACTCGACTTTTGCAGTCACGGTTCTAAATCTGAACCAAAGAGTCCAAATCCGGCAAATCGTTTTAGGAAAACTGATTTTTGAAAGAAGTGCCAAACATGGACTGCTTTGCCAGATACAGAGTCGCCACCTAAATATTTTATTTTGGGAAATTTAGGAAACCCTGACTCGGTGCCAAAAGGCCACGTGTCCGTCATCACCAAAGTTGCCTCGGCTCGGGAACTTGGGTACGATTGGGGAAGGTCACTTCGTGAGCACCCCCGCTCGCCCGGTCATAGACCGGCCTCTACTAACCATGATATCAATTTTTGAAAACATTGTGAGTTCTTATTCCGGTTTATTAGCCTAGGTTACTATGTGATGCGCACAACATACAAGTATAGACCAAAACACCTTACTTAGGGGTCTGAAGTTGAAGAAAAGAAAAGAAGAGGGAAGAAACCCAGTTGGGGGAGAAAATGGGCATGAACCGTTAAGAGAGAGTCGAGCA